CCTCCGCATCACCCCCTGGCACCGAACCCCCCTGAAGCGCGTGAAGATAAAGTGCCCTTATCGTTGCATCCAAGCTGCTGCGCGTTGCAGGTGCCACTGATGGCGGCGTTTAAGCCATCTCCTTCCCTCCCCCCCTTCCTTTTCTCGCTCTCGCAGACCTCCTTCCACGTCACCTCGCACGCGTTCTCCAACACCCTGGCACAGTGTGGCATGTACAGAAATAACGGGCTCAACACCTCCCTGGAGAAGAGCCACGTCACCGGCCCAGACAACTTCATCACCGCCCATGACCACCTCAACTTCCATCCCAGCTACAACCCAAGCGGCCCGTCGCACTGTTAGACCCGCAGCAGTCATGACGATATGAAGCCACTTCTGTGGCTGCCTAGAGAAAAAAACCAAAAAAAAAAAACCCCAAACCCACGAGCAAGCAAACAACGGCGCTGACCTTACCCTAAATCTGCTGCTAAGCCTCATCGGAAAGCGCGGCGGGAGACACTACGTGGTTGCAGTGTAGCTGCTAAATGAGGTCACGGGCTGTTTTATCAAGAATAAAGCAGGTTTCCACTCCAGTCGCACCCTGTGCCATCAGGCTGGACGAGGTGCCCCCGTTGGAGCACTGGGCTTCAGGTTACCTCTCCTGAACGCAGACGTGGGATGTCACGGTTGTTATCGCCAAGGAGAATAAAACTCTATCGACCGTCAGGAAAATAGTTCGTATGGCACACTGAGCAGCAGCAGGTTAACAGGCGTGCTTCGCACCATTAACCACCTAAGTCAGGATTTAATGAGAATTTTTCTCCTGAACACAGGGGAAAAAAAATAAAAATCTTTCAGCTTGGTAATGTGAGACTTGCCATTACAATGTGATGAATAGCTGCAAAATTAGCAGGTTAAAGGTAGCAGTACACATCTAAAAATACCGTGTCGTGTTATGTGTCGTGTCCCCCTCCCAGACTGTTGTATGTATTATTTTTTTTTTTGTACCAGGACTCCTACCCAGTAACAGTCACAGATGTGGCTTTGGGGGAAGAGCAGTTTAAATCTGTGTTATCAAAACTGAGTTCAGTCATTTGCTGGGAAAAACACATACAGCCCCTTTGGTACTAGATGAAAATAGCTAATTTACAGAGTGAATGTTACTAGGAATAATAATTTATAAAGGCCTAATGTGATTAAGTGTCAGTTAAATAGCTCATAGGAACCATTTTACTTCATTTATAGGCAGCATATAGTTATAAATACTAGAACAATATACACTACACATACATACTCCCTTAACCTTTTCTCTATCACTAATGATTCTTTAAACTCTTGGCTCACGTACCACATTATCATTAAAAATTCAGATTTTTAAACTGTTTCTGTACTATTTAATGAATCACCAAACCGCATGTTTTCCAGGGGTATTCATTAAGCCTTTGCATTTCTTGTAGAAAGCATGTTTGTCTTTCTGAACCTCTCAAAACTCCAATGTTTTAAGAAACTATTCAAAAAAAGACAACTAAGCAGAAAGAAAACATTTTCTTAAGTTTTATTGTAACAACTGTAGTTACACAGCCAGTGAAACCGCATCATTTAGGAACAACTTAGCACATTTGGCTTAAAAACTAGGCTTGAAGAGAAAATAGTCTGCCTGTTATGGATGAGAAACGGTCCTACCTCACAGGTATAACATACTGCTAGTATGTATTAAAAATAAACTTAATACTTTTCTAGCTGTTTGCTAAAAAAACAACCCTAAAAAAAAAATAGTGTAACAGTATGTCCAGGTACCACAGGTTAGAAATATTCCTTATTTTTATCATTTTTATATAGTCTCATGGACTGCACAGGAAGCATGACGACGATACATTTAAACATCCTGGCAAGGTAGAGGTATTCTGTTTAGTTAATAAAATCACTAAGCAAAAATCTCAAGTCCAGAACTGAACAGTGTGTCAGGCCTGCACTTGTGCTTCTTTTAAACATTCCAACCCCGTCGTAGCTACGTGTTCCTGGACCCCCCGGCAAGATTTCCCTCACGCCTACCAAACAATTCTGGTTTTCACTCCAATGCGTTTGGTTCTCTCAAACAGAAGAGCAGCTGATTAAATTCACCTTTGCAGAAAACACACCGGCATGTTGGAACAAGTAAATATACTAAGCAGAAATGGGCCTGAAAAGTTAACTTTAAAAATATTTAACATCTGAAAATAAATAAGCAACCCTCCATCATTCGCTGCTATTCTTCTATTAGAGTCTAGACAATACCTTGAGCTTCTCATAGCTTCCCTTTCTTCTCCTGAAATGAAAAATAACAGAGCGCCGAATTAATACAAACAGTTGTGACAATTTTGCATGCATTTTTATTCACAGATTTTTCTGCAAGTGGAATAACTCAGGGATAAGACTGCCTCTTAAAAATATAAATGTAGTGGCTCTTGTCACATATTTTCCACCAGTTTTCATACTTCATCTAAACCCACCCACCTCTTTTCTTCCTCGCCTTCATTTTTTCCCTTTTTGTTCTATCCTTGAACTGAAACCAGTTCCTTTGAACAGTTTTCCATGCAGTGTACCTCACGTCACCCTCCTATCAACGGTATCCTGAGATACGCTGGGGTAAGGTTGTCCAATTCACTTCCGTGGAGGTCCACCGAGAAGGGAGCAACATGCAAGTTCCACTGCAGCCCAGCCCCAAGGGACGTGCCTCTACACCTCCATCTGTCCCAGAGCACGGAGGTTTGCAGCACCTCCTCATCTCTTCTGCACGCTCTATTTCTCTGTGTCCTCACATCAGGTTGTTTACCTTCATAGAATCATAGAATGTCTTGTGTTGGAAGGGACCTTTAGAGGTCACCCAGTCCAAGCCCCCTGCAGTGAACAGGGACACCTTTAACCAGATCAGGTTGCTCAGAGCCCCATCCAACCTGGTCTTCCTTAGGTCAAAGACGTATTTTCCTTGTGTTTGCTTTCCTACATTTCCCTATTTTAGTGGGCTTAAGAAACACTGACCCGTTTGTCCAGGAGACCAAATCAACTTTTTTTTTTTTTTAATTTTTAAGAAATACCTGTACAGATTCCAAATATCATCCTGAAGACGACGCGTTTTACTGCAGAGAACCTACCCCAAACAGTCACTTTCTGCTCTGTATTTTAAAAGCAAGATTTTCACTTTTGCAGATAAAATTATGTAAGGCTGCGCTATCAAACTAAGACAAACTGCAGTTCTTAAGGGTTTGAAAAATTAAAAGCATGTACATTAATAAAAGAAATGGCGGCAGAGACGGTGTGTTCCTTGTATAAAAAGCAGCTAAACGTCAAAACACATGTTCCCGAAATAGCAGCAAAGAACTGTTTATAAAAAATTAAGGTAGTCCTGGTGGTCCCTTGAGGATCCTTGAAGATTGCCCTTCCTGAAGCACAGAAAAATAGTCACTGTGATAAAAATAAAACAACATACCTATTTTTGAAGCCCTGAGCAAGTGCAGTTTTATCTGAGAACTCTGGTATTGCAGTCAGGATGCTGGAACTTACCAGTAGCCATAATAAAATACACTGAGTAGTTTAATAACTTAACGTTCAAATTAGCAAGTTTTGTGCTCTGACTGAAAAAAAAAAAAAATCATTGTGCATTTTTTAAAAATATAAACCAGCACTCATTTAAAAAAAACCCCAGAAACGTAACTTCTTTACATGCTTGAGTAGACCTGAGTTCATGGTTCCATGCATCTACTGCAGTAGATAAAGGATCAAATTAATGCCTCGGGAGGGCTGAAATAATGGAAAAAGGAGCTTGTTCTGGGCACTCAGCAGAGCTGTCACTGGAGTGCTGAAAAGGGCCAGGAGGGCGGATAGCCTGTGCCTACGCCACGGTTGGCTGCCTGCTATGATCAGCATCAACAGGAAGGAAAAAATGCTTTTGGTACTGCTTCTATCAAGATTCAACCTCAAGAGATTTGTACCGTAGTCCCCAACTTGGTACCACATGCGTGGGCCTCTTGCTCATGAATTTATTCTCACTCAATATAATATTTTCTACTCCTCAGCTGTTCAGCCTTTAATCTGTAACGTGTAAGAGCGATTTCATCTTGCTCCAAGACACCAGGCTTCTCTTTTCTGAATGAGTGATGAGAACTGTACCCAGAATGACGGCATTGTCGGCAGAGCCATGGCACTCTTCTTACGGCTGCGGCACCAATTCCAGAGATGTTCGTTGACCCACATCCCCCATGGGTGCTTGCTCCTCCTTGGCAAGTCAGCAATGGGACGAAGTCTGGAAAAATTTCTTGCCAAGACAAAAGACAACAGGGAGGACTTGCAAGGTAGAAGGGAATACCCATAGCATAGTGGTAGAGAAGCACCAAAGGTGAAGGATGGTTTGAGTATCACAACAGCAGCCTTCCTTCCCTCCCTCCCACCCTGAAGACTAGCTCAGAGTCTCCGTGCCTTCTAGGAGAACCTCAGTGCTGGCTGTTCAAGAGAGCACGTTCATCCCATCTCCACACCATCAAGGGCTCCTGGACTGACTACCCCCCATCTTTGATAGCGGAGCAGAAAGGATCACGTTGTAGTCCTGGATGCTGCAGAAGCTGTGCTACAGAGGATGCCCTTTAGAGATTGTGCATGCGCCCTGAGTGACCAGTATCACCTGCTGAGCTCTGCCTCAGAACCACAGAACCCCTTTTGTAACCCTTGTGCTACTAATGGAGAGGGGCAAGCACAAGGGAAGGCTCCACTTCTTGACCACAAACACCAGGAAAGAAAACTGCTGTTAGGGTGTTGCTAAAACTGTAAAAACCCTTCTCACCTCCCAGAATACCTGCAACTTTTTTTGCCTATGCACTCTGTAGATTCTCCTGCTTTGTTTTTTGTTATTAAAACCAATATTCCCTTAAACAGACACATCTTTAAAGGTCTGGATTCTGTCTCACAGTCACAAGGAAATGACACGCCATTGTCACACAGGGGATTACGGTCTCAGACAGCGGGTGGCTGAAGACAATAGGAGGCAAGAAGCAAGAGCAGCAGATGAAATGAGATCCTGTTCCCAGGTTCAGCTAACACAAACCTTGTGATCGTCTTCAAGGGTGACATCCTTTACTCACACACGTTACTGGCAGAAGCTAATTGCATCTTCCAACTACAGCCAGGAGAGTAAAAAAAAAAAAAAAAAAACAAACCCAAAAATACTTCTCACTAAAGACGACGACACAAATCAGAGGAGCACTCTGGTTTCACGGTCCATGGTCAGAACCCCATTTATTAAACATTATAAACTTATCAATGTACACCATTTCCTATATACAAATCAAGTTTATCAATTTAAAAAAGTGCTGTCTGAAATTAGGTTTTATTTAAAGCACAAGGTAATGGGAATTGCATCTTAACTGGAAGTGAATCAGTTCACGAGTAGCATTGAGAACACAGACACAGCGACAGGGGCACAAGACACCTTTTAAGTCTTAATGTTGATTTACTGAAAACTTGAAGGAGAAACATTCAGCTTATTTTATACAAACAGTACATAGTGCTTCCATCATCTCTATTAAAATTAAGTACACAGTTTAATCCTTTTAAAGCAAGGTACTCTGAAAACTTCTATTTTAAAATACCAGCCTATTTACCTATTCCAAACAAAAGGCCCAAATCCTGCAACTGAATCAAGGCAGACAAAAATATATGCCTGTGTAGATGGACTGCAGGCACGCGAGCCAAGTAAAAAACACTTTTCGAAGGTATCCTACCACAAAAATGAGATGATCTAGCGTACAGATCTTTTAAACAAACCAACCAACCAACCCAAGGACTATAAAAAGGTGGCCGGACAGTAAGAAATGTCAAGTGACCACTCTAAACATGTTAAAAATGTAACTGCACAACAGTATAAACACACAAAGGATGTTGTTGATTTCTCTACAGGCCACGGTTACTTGCTCTACTCTATGCTACAACCGCAGTTTGCCAACATTCTGCAAATGCAATCGCACCCGGGGATACGATGCCATACCGGAGCCGTTCTTGACTGCTTTTGCTCCATTTTGCAACACTAAGGCCAGCCTCCAGGAAGACTGCTAAAGTGGCTGAGAAACAAAGCGATACTGAGTGGTAGTTTGGCTGAGAGAAGTTCTGTAGAAGACTAGATAAAGAGAATATCGGATCAATTCACAGGGACAAGATGTGAGAACAAACTACTCAAAGGACTTCGCTACGCACAAATGAAAAGGAAAGAACCAGCCAACAGCTAAACTTCACACCTTTTAGATTTTTCAGTGAAACCGGGGGGGGGGGGGGCGCTGTTTTGTTGCTTTTTTGGTGATACAAACGTGCTACTTCAATCCCATTTGAAGTTAGTATAAATAAAAAGATAGTAGTGAAAAATTGCTTTATTCTGGCTGCTGGAAATGGAGGCAGATAGCACTACCAGTATGAAAGAACAGTGCTGAAAATATCCTTGGCGTTTACATTAGGGACTTTCTACAGCAAACCTACAGCTTTGTTCTATTGCACAAGAATTGTAAATGAAGATAAAAGTTCACAGAAATGTAACATTTTAGAAAACACTTTTGAAAAAGGAAAGTAAGGGCACTCAATTCAAGGAAGTTCATTCAGGAAACCAAAAGCCACCTCTGGGTAACTGCAGGGCATCAAAGTTAGACTTGAGAATAACGAGGAATTGTTTCAGCCTCGCAGGCCCAACAGTACGTAAATCTAGCGACATCCACAGAAATCACGTTGTCTGACCAGACACGCTCCTTCGCGTTTCTCCAACTGCAATTGTGCTTTGCATCACCTGCTGGCAGGAGGTTTCCTGTATTCAAAAGGTACTTTCAACAGCTGCCGAGGTCGCTTTACACAGGACGTGCAGACGGACCGATCCACTTTATTTACCTGAATTTGCACTTGTATCTTCAAGGATGGATCTCCACACCTACAGCTGCGCTGACTTCACTGGAGATCTGCTTAGTGAACTCACCCAACAGTCCTCGGGTGGGAGAACTGAGACCCCAGCATAAAACCACTACGTAGGATTGTCCTAAGGCAGCTTGAATATGAACAGATGTCAGATACTCTGCTCCAAAAGCATAACGTTGCTATCAAATGCTGTGTTTTCCTAGGATCTCTTAACAGATTGCCAAATATATTCTGTGCGCAAACAGGTTTCCTTTTGATATATGATTAGAGGCCTCATAATTTAAAGCGTGATTAGCCAGTATCTTCTTATCTACAATAACTACAGCATCCTGTAGTAATGCAAGCCCTAAAAATCATTATAAAAAATATTTCCTTAGAGCACTTTAAATAATTTACAAAATTCTACAAAAACTATGTATGTTTATCCATGATATCCCTGTTAAATAGAAGCATTTTTCACATTAGCGTGTGTATGATATACAGATATCGGCATCTCTCACTATCTCTCATGTCTCAAGTTTTATAAAGGTGATTACAATGATAGTTATTTTCTAAAAAGACTGTTATTGTAAAAAAAAAAAAAAGTGTACTTACATATTTGAAACCTTTCTTTTCAAGAGGGAATCTGGGCAGTCCCCTGCAGGTAGGTCAGTAAATTTTGCACAGGTTTTGTCTAAAACTTCCTGCCCTTGGTCCACTTCACAAGCAGTTTCCCTATTCTGCAGGACACCTATTTTTCCTTCCAAGATGGAGCTGGAGGCTTGAATTTCTTCCTGCCTGCCACTGTCCACTTTTTCTTTCTTAATGCACATCTGCATACTGTTATTTGTACATGCTCCTCCACTAGTTTTATCTGCTGCTACTGCTGTCACATTTAGTTCCTGCAGCGGGCAACCTAAACTTGGATCTGGCCTCTTGTCCTGCTGGTTATTCTCTCCCTTACTGCACGCATGTGTATTCTGCTGAGATGTGCCTCTGCTAACTTTATCTGCTTTTACCACTGCCATACTGTGTTCAGGGTGTGGGGGATCTAAATTTGAACCGGCCCAGCTGTCTTTGTGGATATCTCCTTCCTCAATCCACATCTGCATGTTCTCAGCTTTGGATGTTCCTCTGCAAGCCTGATCTACTTTTACTGCTGCCACACTCCGCTCCTGCGAGGGGAGGCTCGAGTGTGAACCCGACTGGTCTCCTGAAGCACTGGCCTTCCTGCAACCCTCTGCTTCCTCTTTGATATACAAAGGAGCAGCCTCCAGTCTTTCACAGGTTTCTGCTACACGGGGACTTGACACTTCCACAGCGAGCTTCTGAGAAGAACTGGATTCTTTCATTGCTGTCGTACACTCCCCACTAAATTCGCCTTTTGGGCAGGGGGCTTCTCTTCCCTGGTTAAGTACATCTGTATCCTGGGAAGCTACCTCCGTTCCTAATGCACTGCTCTGGGCGAGCAAACGCTCTGCTTTCTGCTTTTTGTTCAAAAGCATGGATTTCTTCCTGTCCCGAGCATATTTTAGACCTGCAATAAATTTACTCGAAATCTTTAGGTGAAAGGTATTCTTTCTTTTAGACCTAGACTTTGCGTTAATTACTTTCCGTACTTTACAACCTTCATTTTTGCTGGTTTTAGCCGGAAGCATTTTCTGCACAGGCTCTGTATTAGTGACATCCTTTTTACCTGTTGTGTTCCCAGGTAACTCCCCACCACCAGCAACACCTTTAGCCCCCCCCACTCCTTGCTTAGCTTTTGACTGACCAGTAGTATGAAGATTAACATTCTCCGCAGAGGAAGCAGATTTCCCACTGCCATGTAACATTGCACTTTTCCCTTCCGTTCTCTGAGAGTTCTTCAACTCCTCAGTTTGCTGAGGTACCTCAGTCTTTTTACTCTGAGCCAGCATGAGGTCAAGCTCATTTTCAACCGGCTGTTGCTTTGCTTTTCCTTTATTAGCAGTTTGCTTGGTCACTCTCAATAGGTCCAGAGTTGCATCATCTTTTTGCATCTCTGAATTGCTTGCAGAGTCTTTAGCCTTTTCTGCCAAAAACCTCCTAATTTCCTGTTCGATGCTGTCATCGCTGTCCACTGAACTGCTGTCATCAGCGTCTGACGCAGCTGTGAAAGTACATTTTTTATATTTAGCTACCTGCGGGTTATTCTGGTTTGAAGTTGGTTTAGGTTTATATCCTTTTTTAAGCTGTACGTTAAACTCTAAGTTCTTCACGGTTTCTGGTTTTTCATTGGTAAGTTTGACACTTACATTGTCTGGAGGATTTCTGGTTGCATTCTCTTTCACAGCCTTTCTAGGTTTTGAGAGGCAGCTTTTCAGCAGCATGGGATTTTTACATTTCCACTCATTTTGTTGGAGGCTACTAAATTCATCTAGCAGCTGAGTTTCTGCCTCGCTAAATCTGACTCTCTTTTTGCACTGAGATTTCTGGTCCTTGGACTTCTTCTTTAATTTCCTTTTAGACCGTAGAAGGTCCTTGATAGCACTATCAAGGTCCTCATCACTGTCAAGAGAACTGCTCTCATCATCCGAACCATCCCTCTCTGGAGTTTGGATGGTATTTTTCATAAGCTTTCTTGCGCTGCTCTGAACCTGCATAAAAGGGTTTACAGAGTCCAAGGCCGCACATCTGCCAACAGATCCAGATAATTCAGAAGACATCAGCTGCTGCTGCCTGGTCTCTTTGCTACTGAGCCTTTGAGCATCACAGAGTTCTGCAGCACTGCTCAGGGCACACCCCTCTTGGAGCACAGGAAGTTTTGAATAGTTACCTGGCTGGAAAAGTCCTGTCTCCAGCTGTTCAGGTGGTTTTGATGCACCTTGTTTTGCTATTCTGCCTTCCCTTTTAAGTCTCCTTTTACGACTCAGCGATAGCTTCAGTGTTTTGGGAAGAGAAGGCTCAAGGGTACCGGTGAGGCTGTTTTGATCAGAAGGCAAAGGCATCTGGATTGAGTGTGACAGGCTGGGAGGCTTTGTTCCAAGGCTTTCTGACTGTGCTTTCAGAGCCAAAAAAGCCCTGATTTCTTGCTCTATGCTATCATCGCTGTCCACAAGGCTGCTGTCACTTTCACAACGGGAGGACGAGAGAAGCTGGGGAGAAAAGAAGGAGTCTGCGGCAAGTGATTTGTTGTCACTTCCCATTTGGGATGGCATGATTGTTTTGGAAATATCAAGGATAGCTTCCGCACACATGAGTTCTGCAGATGTGTCTGCTCTGCAAGAGGCCTGCAGTGTGAGCTCGCAAGCAGCAATCTTGTTTTCCGGAGGTGCAAAGTGTCTGGCTTTTTTCAGTGGTTTGAACAGCTTGTTAAATTCATTGCTGGTGCTTTCTAATTCTGTTGACTTTGAATTAACGTCTTTTCTCTTGTTGCTTGTAGGGCTTTTATGGATTTCTGGTGAGGCACTTTTTGTTGAGCTAATCGTCAGGCTTGCAGAAATGTCCGCCATACCCTTCGTATCAAATTGTTCTCTCTGCAAAGGGACACCATCTCTTGGGTGACCTGCCTCTTTCCTGATCTTCTCCAGCTGATAAAGCTGAATGGCTTCTTCAATGCCATCATCGCTACTCGAGTCAGATGTGTGCATGCTCTCGTTGATAAGTGCTCCCCTCGTCTCCCAGTAATTAGCTCCATTTTCTTCATTTTGCTCCACTAACCAGGGCTGGCTGGCGGTGGCCATTTCTAGATATGCCTGGTTCACTTGGCTGAAATCACGGGGCTCTTCTTGGATTTCAGACTGCAAACACTTGGACTGCGTGCTGGTTTTCTGTAGCTTGGGATGGTGTCTCAAGAGAAGCGCATTACAACCTTGCTTTATAGCACCACAGCTTGTTTTGTTTGTTGGTTCTTTGTTGCATTTTAGGACAGATCTCACATGGGCATCTTTTTTATCCTCCCCAATTACGCACTTACTAATTTCTTGCTGCTTCTTCTCATTCAAGAACTGCACTATTTCAGCTTGTATGCTCTGTTCAAAAGAGTCGTCGCTACTGATGCTCTGAGGGGAAGCAGGCTGTAGCCTTTTACCAATTCCCAGGTGGTCAGACAGGTACTCTTCAGAGAGCATCTCAGCTTTAAATTTCACAGGGAGAAGGTTACTAGCCATTTTGTTCTGGGAGAATTCTCTCTTAAACCTTTTGTCTCCGCTTATATTCTCAGAACACTCTGCATTCCTTTGCAGCAACTGGTCACTTTTGCTTTTTGCTTTCAAGTACTCTTGAATGGCTTCCTCTATACCTCGGTCAACAGAATCATCACTATCAGAATCGAGCAAGGGAGTCCCAAACCCCACGTTCTCTTCCACCTCGGTGTCGTCTGAATCCGCAGGGCAACCGCACTTGGTATATTGAGGATGCTTCTGCAGCAGCGTGGTGCTAGACGTGACTCTGTTACTGGTGCCCTTTTCTCCCTTGTGTTTCTTCTGCGTAATACAATCATACTCATTGTTCATACCCAGGGGAGACTCTTGACTTTGCAGGTTGTTTATGATCATCTGAACTTTTGCACTTACAGAGGTTCTGTTGATGTCCCCTTCAGATTCAGAGAAGCAAACAGGATATCTACAATTCCTTGCTGGTCCAAAGGACTCCCATTTCGTCTGAAGAGCTACCAAAGGAGAAGCATTCATAAGGAACATTCTAGCGGACAACAGCGAAGTCCACAACAGAACAGTTTTTCAGACTGGTCTCTCTTCCATCCTACAATAAAGAAAGAGAAAAATATTTTTTTATTATGCATCTACCCTCTAGAAGTTCCACTGGTAACGTAAATTGTAAATTATTAACACTCGGACTTACTGTGCCAGATAATCACAAGAGTTACTCCTTGACATCACTTTAACGGGTAAATCAGTCACTACCGCCAGTAAGGATAAGACAGAGCACTCATCGCTCGTGGTTTCCAGTATTTTCTGGCACAATGATAATCCAATTCAGGTAATTATCTTCACTTCTGAAACTCTTCCTGCACTTTTCATTGAAGGTTGCCCTCTCTTTTGCGCACATCCCTACATAACCGTGTATTGTCAAGCCTCACAAAGAATCACTCTGGCGATACCTCAGTGCACAGGCGTGCGTTGATCCCCTTCTGAACTAACACTGGCTTCATTTTTTTGCCATGAACTTTGTGGCAAGAGAAAAAGAACAATTTTAAGGGAATCTTTCATAAAGAAGTGGAATTGGTGGGAGTGGAGAACCCTGCAAAATATTCTGCTCCCTGTGCTTCCTTTGGCATAATTGCCCTTTTTAAAGAACTCCCGCCATGCATAGCTCAGCTTTTCGGTTTTACAACGAAAACAATGTTGGCTATGTCCACATGGCGTATAATGGGCGGACATGAAGCAAGCTTGCCCATGATCCGAGATGGTGGAACACAGACCCACTCTTATTCAAAGAGCAGAGCGACTGCGTTAGCAGGATGCCTGAGCTCACACACCAGCCCGAGGCAGCTTCTACTCGTCCTGGCTCGGCATTAAGCACACACAGGCGAGGGACTCGGGGTAGCTCAGAGAGAAGGAAAGGGAGCTTACTTCTTCCTGAAGCATACTACGCAGCAACAACCCTGAGACATCAATCATTCTGGCCTCACCACAGGGTAAAAGCTCTTGGTAAACACCTATCTTTAGGAGTTTGCAAAAGCAGGGTGAAGATTATGAATGATTCTTTGTGTTACGGTAGAAACCCCAAGCAGAATGAAGCCCGGTTTCATTGAAAAGGGAAAAAAGCCACCTGGAAAATGCCAGAACCCAAAGAGTTCACAACTTCCACGCGGTCCCATGAGGGCTGAAGGTTTCACCTGCAGCATCGTTTGGTGGGATCAAAAGAGCCTCTGGCTGACACAAGGGACACAACAAGCCACAGCAGCAGAGCTTTTTTTCAAGCCCAATTCGCAGTTTCCCCCCCAGCCCCAGCGAGCCCCGGCTGCAGCGCGGCGCTGGACTCCACCGACCTACAGAGTCGTGCTTCTGCCTCTGAATCCCCTCCGACCTTGCCCTTGTCAAGTACTCTCTACTTCTGGTTTCAAATTAATCAGTGGCAATAAATATTTTAAAGAATTAATGATTCTAAACTCTTTAAACCTTCTATTTATTTGCTACTGAGAATAAGATAACAGACAACCAGGGAAGCCAATGCTTTATCACTTCCAAAAAGAGCACAGTGCTCCAGCGAAGAACGTTCTGTTTAACATGACAAATGCTTTTGTCAAAATTATTCTGGGACCTCTGCTCCGGGAGCAGTTTTATTGCCATCTTGTTAATAGAACAGAATATTCTTGAAATCTTATTGACCAAAGCAGAGTGACCCTGAACGCGCCTTCCAGGACGTCCGCAGCGTGGTTAGCTCTGAACACACCAGTAATAACGCTTTTGCCGCTTCTTTTGCTAGTTCTCTGCTGCAGAACGTCTTAGCAGAATAAATTTTAACCCAAATTCCGGACAACCATTTCCGATTTGCTTTTCCTCAGTGGCAATTACTTTCACAACATCGTTCCTGCAGAACTGAAGTTTTAAGTGTAGCGATCAAGAACATCCCTCCTGGGACGCAACCTGGAGCAACCCAACACACTCTGTTTTAACGTCGACTTTTTAGCTAAATAAAGAGAGTTTTGCCTGACTTCTGCTCCCCGCCTGCCAATAAAGCACAGGGCTCCCGACCGCTCATGCGTTCGGCCATGGACTAACTGGGGAGGGATCCCACAGGCAGCCCGCCACCACCCGGGTCGGAACCCACGCTTTCAGAAACACGCGAACTGAATAAACGCGCAATTTCTCAAGTAGCCTCCCAACACATTCGCTAGGGCCAACATAAATTAAAAACATTTTTCCTTGTAATAAGCAGCTAAGGATCAAAAAGACAGAAATTAGAATACCTAATTATCTTGAAGAAATGCAATTAACACACTTAAGCTCCCAGCTTCATTAAAAAAAAAAACCCAACTTATTTCCTATTAACCTACTTATTTCCAGTTTCCAGGAAAGGGGCAGGTGCCTTCCTTACCCCGTGCTGGGATTGCAGTCGCGCTGCAAGAATTACACGGGACTGGGATGAACTTTCCCGCCCCAGCGCTGCTTCAGGCCAGGGCACCCACCCAGGGGTGCAGGCTCTGAGGGGGCACCCACAGAGGGCATGAGGGGACACCCAAAAGCACCTGGAGGCTGTGTGAGGGGGAACGTGAGGGGACACAAACCAGGGGACACCCACAGAGGGTATGAGGGGACACCCATGGGGGCTGTGTGAGGGGACACAATGGGACACTCGCTGGGGGGCACCCGCAGGGGCTGTGAGGGGACACTCAGCCGGGGGGGCACCCACAGAGGGTGGGAGGGGACACGAGGGGACACCCAGCCGGGGGGCGGCCACAGAGGGGCTGTGAGGGGACACTCAGCCGGGGGGGCACCCACAGAGGGTGGGAGGGGACACGAGGGGACACCCAGCCGGGGGGCGGCCACAGAGGGGCTGTGAGGGGACACTCAGCCGGGGGGGCACCCACAGAGGGTGGGAGGGGACACGAGGGGACACCCAGCCGGGGGGCGGCCACAGAGGGGCTGTGAGGGGACACTCAGCCGGGGGGGCACCCACAGAGGGTGGGAGGGGACACGAGGGGACACCCAGCCGGGGGGCGGCCACAGAGGGGCTGTGAGGGGACACTCAGCCGGGGGGGCACCCACAGAGGGGCTGTGAGGGGACACTCAGCCGGGGGGGCAACCACGGAAGGGCGGGGGAGGGGGCATCC